AAGGGCTACATAAAGCCTGGTACAAGCTCTAAGTTTATTAATTTTAATTTTGTGGGTGCTTCCATAGAGGCCAGCAGCATTGAGTTTCCCATGGAGCTCTAAGTTACAGACAATTGTGGGAGCTGCAAACCTAACCCGGGTCTTCAATGCTCTTAACTGCTGGGCCTCTCTCTCTCTAGCCTCATAACTTGTGTTTGAGGGCTACTGTTCCTGAACCTATGGTAGATTTTATCCCCATTTTATTAGTTTTGACTTTGGGTCCAGTGACATTTCTTGAATGGTTTCAAAAGTCAATACATAGCTTCTGATCCCCCTGCCTCCACCTCCTAGTGCTGGGATTACAGGATCGTCCCACCAAGCCTGCCTGGTTCCTGTAGGTAATGGAGAGAAGGGGCCCACTTTTCCAGAGTGACTTCTGGATTATCACTGGCTGTGGCCTCAGGGCACTGAAATCACAGACGCGTTTCCTCCTGTGACTCTACCCTGCAGACATGCGTCGGGATGTCCAGGAAATTTTCGCATGACCCCCCATGAGAAGCAGGTCATGATGTTCAGTGCTACCTTGAGCAAAGAGATCCGGCCAGTCTGCCGCAAGTTCATGCAAGATGTAAATACCCTTCTACCTTCTCTCCCTCCACTCCCCGCCCGATGCCTCCTCCCCCCCCAGCCCCCCGGGCGCCAGGTGGCATGGAGCCTTCAGCTGGAGCTTCTGTTCCCCGAAACTCAGACATGTCAGTGGCAGGAGAGCAAGACAGGGACAGTCAGTCAGGTGGCAGGGCCTGTCCAGAAGAAGAACAGACAAACAGCACCATGAACCCACCAGTCCCCACCTCCAAGGGCGGGGGCCTTTGGCACCTCAGCCCCGCAGCCCCCCACTCCTTCCTGTCCATACCTCCTTGCACCCATCGGAGCCTTGGTTGATGAGAGCTGACAGCAGAGAAGCACTGAGGCACGACGGGAGAATTCAGACCTACGAGCCGTGGATGGCAGCAGCGGAGGCCACGGGGAGCCTGACCAGGATGCTGAGGACCAAGCCAGCCTCTTTTTCTGTTCCCGGTTTTTTCCTGAACCTAATGTGCTGTACCCCGTTTTCCCCATACCTGTTGGGAGGGGTGTCTTGAGTGGGGTGGTGGATTTTTTTCCTTTTTGTTTTTTACGATGGGAAGAGACAAAAGACAAGTTGTACTGAGATGTAACAAGTGGGTCTCGGTGCCGAGACTGAGCAGGGGGTGGGGTGTCCTTCCCTCCCTGACCCTTTCCTTCCCTTGAGAAGATGCTTTGCTCTTGGGCCAGGCGAGGGGCTAGAATTAGGAGGAGGCTGTGAGACTTTATTTGGGGAGTTTCCTCGCCAGGCTGCTTTCTGGAAGAGACTTCTGTGACACCCACTTAGTCCCTTGCTCTATGTGAACTGTCTCAGACAGGATGGAGAGTGGGGAAAGTCTGTCCTGCAGTTAACTGGTGTCTGTCCATTGTTGATGTCCTTTTTCCCTTCAAGGGTTGGGGTGGGTGTACAGTTTTTGTAAAATGTAAGGTCCATTCCTTTCAATTGTCCTTTTCCCTTTGATGCAGAAACCTCTCTATTATTAGATGTTCACAGAAAAAGAACAGGGCAGGGAAGCTGTAAATCTCACAGCTGCTGGGAGGAGGGAGCAGGAGGAGAGGAGGAGAGAAGCCATGCCCTTAGAGTCCAGGAAAGCGGACATCTGCAGGGGTGAGGGCTCCAGAGAAATGGAAGGTGTTGAGGGTTGGTCAGGAGTTAGAGCTCAGAAGGTGCAGGTTCTGTTGTGGGTGTGGGAAAGAGCCTGTACTTCTGTTGGCCAGCACAGTGTGTTCATCCCTCACCTCCCAAGTATAGACGGTTTGACTCTGAATTTAGAAAACTCTCTTCTAAAGCTGAGTAGTGTGTTGAGTACAAGGTGTCTCCCAGCTTGAGCAATGTGTGCTTCTCTTTAATAACTTCTACCTCAACCACCCGAGAGCTGGGATCACAGCATGCCACTAAGGCCCAGGTTTTGAATGGCGTTTTTGGCTGTGTCCATTGCAACCTTCTGGTCTTGGACATTTGCTGAAGTACAGAGAGGACAGTTGAGTGGGGCAGTCAGCCCTGGCCTGTTGTGGTGTCGATGCCCAGGCCGGTTCACTGCTGCCTCTGCTGTGTGTTCTGACTATGCTGTCCCCTGGAATACCATCTCCATAGCTAACTCTCCCCTGGAGTACCATCTCCATAGCTAACTCTCCCCTGGAGTACCATCTCCATCGCAACTCTCCCCTTGAGTACCATCTCCATAGCTAACTCTCCCCTGGAGTACCATCTCCATAGCTAATGCTCCCCCATCAGCTCTGACACTGGCACCTTGCAGCTGGAAGCTTCACCACTCTGTGCAGAGTTCCTTTCTCCTCTGACCATTCTCAGTTGAGCTTAAAATTCAGCTGCTGCAGATACTGCCGTACCTAACTGGAAAGGGACCTCAGTACAGAGCGTTCTTGTGATGGGGAGGGCTTTTCAGTCTTCTCTCTACTCCCCATCAGTCCATGGGGTGTATTGGAGACCATCACCCTCCACCCCCCCAGGTTTAACCCCCCACTCTGCCCTCCTCCTGCCCCCACCCCTCCTTCCCTCAGCCTATGGAGATCTTCGTGGATGATGAGACCAAGTTGACGCTGCACGGGTTGCAGCAATACTACGTGAAACTGAAGGACAACGAGAAGAACCGGAAGCTCTTTGACCTTCTCGATGTCCTTGAGTTCAACCAGGTCAATATTGAGGGTCTGTGTGGTCTTGAGCAGTGGGCATCCCCAGCCGTGGCAGAAGCCTGTGGAGAAGTAGCCTGTGATTGAGGAGCCAAGGGTGTGAAGGTGTGAGAGACAGCTGAGGTAGAGTCCGTGATGACTTCAGTGAGTGGAGGAACGCATTGAGCTGGGTACTGACGTGGTGGCTCTGCTGTCGTCTCTTACAGTCACCCAGGAGGAGCAGTGTCAGCCTGTGCTCAGCTGGCTGCAGAGCCTGTGGGGCTCTTAGTGTTTCCAGAGGCTCATCTGGTTTTCTAGACTGTAGTTCACATCCTACCATCTTCCTGAGGGCGCCTCACACGTGTGTGTGCCAGTTTGAGGTCTTGTGTCCATGGCAGCTCACACATCAGGCTGTTGAGAAATCTTGGCCTAGGCACAGGCGTTAAGTTCCAGAGAGGAAAAGGACATTTGTGAAGGGACATTTGAGACAGAAAAGGGCCTGAGGAACTCGTTAGAAATTCTGCCAGGGTGGGTTAGTGGTGCTACCCACCTTTAATCTCAGCTCTTGGAGGCAGAGGCAGGCAAGCCTCTTGAGTTCTAGGCCAACCTGGTCTACAGAGTGAGCTCTAGGACCGTCAGGGCTACACAGAGAAACCAAAGAAACAACCAAACAAAAATTCACCAGGTGTGCTAGTATGGGAGTCTTAAATCCCAAGCTGACTCTGTGTAGTCAGAGCCAGGTGGATCTCTGAGATCAAGTGTGGGGTCAGAATCGTTTATATAATGTGTTTGAGGATGACTGGACCTCAAACGCCCTGCTCTTCAGAGGATCCACACCCCCTCCCTCCCACCGATGCCTGTAATTGGCCCCAGCAGATAAAGATACAGATACAAATACAGCACACCCTTCTGGCCTTGAAGGACACCTGTATACACCTGCATACATTCACACAAACA